AGAACAATTTAACAAAGATGAGAACTTTTAACTTGCATAGAATAACTCCCTTTGAAGAGCTTTTAAAACACATTGGCCACAATACAGAGAAGTAAATGTGGGAAACTAAAGAAGTTCTATTAAGTGCTGAAACGGTACAATATTCAATACCTCTTCTACTATTAATATTAACTGCCAGGAGTGGAGGATCTGTACCCCTATACAGCCTCAGATTCTAAAACTGGTCTTACCTGTAAGTATTTTTTGCTTACATTCAGCAGTACACAGTCACAGAATAGTCATCACTATCTATTCCACAATCCAGTTCAGTTATGACCACTATTACTTTTGGAAACGTAAAAGATGTCGTCTTCAAGCCTGCACCCATTTATTTACTTTTCTTTGCACTTTTTATCTCAAGATCTCTTACAGGGGCTGCCAAATGGTAAGATGGCACAAGCCAAATAGGCAGGAATTGAAATAGACATTATGAAATCCAGAAACAGAGAAACACTGCCACTGAGTGGGCGAAATAGGAATGAAGCTCTAGATCTCTTAAATCAGCACATTAAGGTGAGCAGGCATAGACTTTCAAACACAGTTAACGTATATTCAGCAAATATAGGAAGCCTGGCAAGTATAAGAAGATTCAGTCTTCTTGTTTATTGTGGTGATGAAAGTACCATATTCCTAGTACAGTCAATGATACAGATTTTCCAGAAAAACCAGAATCAGAAAATTATCTGATGCCCTAAATAAGAGTGTGATCTGATTTAGCATGCTTATTATTTAGAAAATAAACTTTATCTCATATTAATTTTCTGTCCAAATAGCAACAAATACATGAACTGAATACAAGAGAAAAACTCCCACCCAATTGTGGTATAGGTATTATATTCAAAGAAATTCAAAGCTTTATTTAGTAATTATTTTATTGGACTAATACTTATAAAAGAGAAGGACAACATATCATGTACTTCCCTTACATGGTTAAACTGAAGAAAAACAGCAAAGGCTCCGACAACAATTGATACACTAGTTTTATAGGACATAGCCCTCCCCTCATCTATTTCAACAGAATTTAACTCTCACCCATTACTTGTTAGTTTCATGAACGATTGGTGATTACAGTATCTCTCCTACCACATGATGGGAGACATAAATAAAATTTTTAGCTTAGGCTTTGATTTGACCTGCACAGCGGATCAAATGAATTCATAATATTCCAAATAAATTATGTGTTGTTTTATGCACCCACTCCTGTTTACAAATCAGTAAACATACATAATATGTGCAAAATTCATAGCAGGAAAAACCACCTGAAAAACATTACAACTTTGAAACTGCCTAATATATTGACAATGGCATCCATTCATTGTTCTTAATTTTCTGAAGTCATCATTTCATAAAAGTAACATCTTCTGTTAAAAGAAAGCACACTTCAGAAATTTTTCTGCCTCACACCACTGTATATGCGAAAGGACATAAGAGTGAGTCTTGTGTCCATATTTGCAAGGTGTACAGGTCTGAAACCGTACCAGGACCAGTTTAGGAGGGATTTTGACTGGGGCTAAATTATTGTCACCTACAGCTATTCAAATTAATAGTCGTGGTTTTACTGTTTTGGTTCTAATTATCTCCATGCTCTACCTGTTTTGCTACATACTGATGCAAACTGAGCTCCCTTTAATGGGGGTGGATACAAACTAGCTTACTAAAAACATCTGGTGAATGAACTGCATTATTGTACCAGCATTATGATTACACATGGCTGGTTTACATTTGGGATTGAACAAATGATAGGCAATTGTGATCCCTTGCCCCAGGTCAATTTCACAAATGTCAGCATCTGCTTCTCACATGCTTCAGCTTTTTTACCCTCATCTAGCCAATGTTGCCCTCCAAATATTGATTCTAAGTAGCCACAAGGGATGTACAAGAAAAAAAATTCAGTATTTTTCAAATTTGGGGGGTTTGGACCCTCATTCAGTATTGCCTTGAAAATCCAATTCCAATATTGGTATTGTATTGGAATACAGGTAAAATTCGGGAATTCCAATTTTTTCAGCTCCATTATACCCTATAGGGCTATTATAGTCAATGGCAAATCTCCTAGGGTATACTCAGTAGTCTGGGGGTTAGGGGCTTTGCAGTAGAGGCACCAAATTTGCCACGTAGCTGCTGGGGCCTCTCCCCAAAAGAACCACCAAGTTTCAAAAAGATTGGACCAGGGATCCAACCCCAAATGTATAATTTTACATCATGTTTTGTTGCATGACATAAAAGAGTATGCATGAAGTTCTTCTCTTTGCTGGTTTGTATGTAGATGAATTCATTGCTTAACCAGTTGCCTTCTATATTGGCCCCAATATTTGATTAAGTAAAGTTTTGGAATGCTCAATGAAATTATGAAATATAAGGAAGAAACTGAAAAGTTAGCTTTTTGGGTTACCCCCATATATTTATTTATATATTGCAATACTTCTGTCATAGCTTTAATAATACAGTTATGCCACTGTGAAGAATTGAGTAGTAGGTGTTAGAGTAGCAATCATCAGAAAATATGGTCATTAATACAAAACCTCGAAAGGAAAAAAAAGGCTAGATCCTACAGCCAAACAAAATTTGTCAAGGACTACCATATAGTTCTACACTAAACTGTAAACAACTCTATATATGATAATTATGTAACCACACTTTCCAAAGTCATAGCTACCAATGTTCCAAAGATCTGCTTGCCTGATCACTCTTCCCATCCCACCCCTGTCACATATGTTAACTTTGTTAACTTAAGGGAGCTTTGAACACATGCCTCAGGAGGGTGCCAAGAGCCTCCTACTTTTGCTTTGAAATGATACCACCTAATGTTGACCCTTCATACACAATTAAGACCTGGGAATTTGGCATGGCTCATTCAGTTATATATGGAGGTCTGCTAGACTTGCATGATTATGAACTGCTGGCTGCACATTTAAAAAAAGCAGCAGCCTCAAACAACTTCAGTATGCACTTTATTTCAGAGCTTTGACTGTTAACCAGTTATGGTTATTCAATAAACAGTAAATGGTATTTGACTAATAGAGGGTTTCCAATCAGGAGCAATGGTACCTGGGCCAAGTTTTGGCAGTGAAAACAGATTCTGCTATCATCTTTATTAGCCAGCTGGAATATATGCACCTGTCAGGAATCCAAAGTTCCTATATGTCTGGCTGTGATTTCCTTGCACCATTTTCTCCTGCACATTCTTTCCCCTCCCTTTTGTGAAGAGTGGAAGAAAAATTCCTTCTTGGAAACTACATCGATGTAAACGTGAAATATGATATTTCTCCCCCCCTTCTAAAAAAAAATCTGCTGCTGGCATGTTGTTGGTTTTTATGGAGGATTTTAAAAACAGGAGCAGCTTGTGCCTTCTGCAAAAGCCTAATGCAGAAAACAATGCCCCCCCCCCAGTTCTCTGCAGTGGACACCATTCAACTCCCAGTGAATCCTGATGAGATGGCTCCCTCCTACTTAGGACACCCCCATTCCACTGCTGTCCCAGGAGTACTTATGAACCATCACACTTCTCAAGAGAGCAGGGAGAAAAAAGACTGAACAGCCTAACCGATAACTTGAATGAAGAGAATACCACAGGGACAAAAAGCTTTCATTTAAGCTGTCAACTGGCATATGAAAAGTACAGGAGGCAGCTTCTGCAAACTCATCTTTGAAATTCCATGATGTTTTCTCAGTGTTCTTATCATACACCATCTTGAGTACTTTTTAAAGTGGTGAGGTAATCATAAATGTAATAATACAAAAAACCCACTCAAGAGACACCAGAGCTGGCCTGCTAGATCAGACCGAGGATCCATCTAATCCAGTCTCCTGCTCCCTGCAGCCACATACCTTGAGGAAGTCCATAAGCAAAGCAAATATGCAACAGCATTCCCTTGCTGCTGACACCCAGCACTTGTTTCTTTGGGTTGTGTATTATCTCAGAACATGGTTCTAATTCAGCCTTAATGGTTAATACCCATTATTCACCATGAATTTGTCTAGTGCTTTAAAAAGCCAATTAAAGCAGCCACTACCACCAAATGCTGTGGCAAAGAGCTCCATAAAACAGTTATACATTTAGTGAAGAAGTACTTTCCTTCATCTGTCCTGGACATAATGCCAATTTGTTCTGGCAAAGCACAGTTCCACCATTACTGAAGACTAAGAAACAGTTTCTCTATCCATTTTCTCCACGTTGTACCTAATTTTATATTCCTTGGTGAACTCTTTCCCTACATTAAACAGCTCCCAACACATTCATCTTTACTCATAAGGGAGGTACACCAACCCTTGATCAGTTTGGTTCACCTTTTCCACAAGCATTTCCATTTATACTTTAATTTTTCCCCTGAAGGCCACACTCACTGCTGAATTTATACTCCAACTATAAATTTACAGCTAAGAAATACCCCAGAATGTTTTGGCAACAGACACAAGTGTACACTAAATTGTTGTACCACAAATTTCTTATAAGATTTCACAACATATACTAAAAAAAATTGCAAGGTCTATATAATACATTCTAATTGAACATGTAGTCCCCCCAACCAAAAACTGCTTAAGTGACATGACTCATGTCACATGATGTGCTAGTAAAATCACCTGGCCTGCTACAGATTTATGTCATTAAATCTTAACCTAAACAAGTCCAAAGAACTACACAGATAAGCATGCACAGCATCCTTCAGCAAAAAACTTGCCCATTTAGGGATCAGGTAAATCATCGATTTCTTTAGTTACACTATAAGTACTCAGAGCACACAGCATCAGAACTCATGCTAAAGACAGTTATCCCTGTTGCCTCTTTCAATATTTAAAATGTGGAGCTATTCATAAGGGTTTCCAGAGTCCCATCCCATTTGTCGCCCCCCAATAAGATACAGCACCAACTAGCTAGCAACCACAGACTCAAATGATGAACTAAATCATGCTATTAAGAACCACTGTACATCCCCACCCCATCACAGCACTCTTCCAAATACCTTTAAGTCATCAGTCTCAGGTTTTTCAGTCTCTGAATCGTCATCTTCCTATAAGACAAAGAATTTACAAGATTAAGCTTTAAAGAGTGGGCTTGCCAGTTCCTGCATATGCAGCAAGGGGCTTGCAATAAATAGCCCAGTGTCTTCCCTTCACTTCAGCTGTGCTGTTCTCACAGGCCCTTGCCCTCCCTTGGTTGATTATGAAAAGTCCATTCAGATAAAAAGGTGGCAATGGATAGGACAGTACTACAAATGAACATCCCTATAGATTCTAAGTGTCCATATAACATATGGAAAAAAGACAGCGAGAAGCCAGCCATGCAGATAAGAACAATAAATATATTTCTTGTGTGACAACCCTTGTTTTATACCATCAAAGTCCTGATAAAAATGGGCACACCTTCAGAAGAGATCTAGACATGCTAGCAGTTGTGACACTGTTTTGATTTTTGTGCCCACCAAAGCATACTTCCAAGTTCATCTTGCCAAAAAAAGAACAATTCAAGATACAAACCATGCAAGAATGAGATTAGCATTGCTCTGAAGTTTATCACTTAACCTGACCTTTCTTAAAAGAAGTTCTGTAGTGCTCAAAAGCTGCCATTCTCTTCCAGTAACGTAAATCTGTTCCTCCCAAAGAGTACAATCCTAAACAGAGCTACACCCTCTAAATCTACTGACATTTAGAGGGTTTAGAAGGATGTTAATTCTTCTTAAGATCACATTGAACATTACTTTCCAAATTCATTGTGTGTCTTTTTTCTGCCTAGAAATTATCTACTTGGCTTTTGCATTGGACACACACTGTTTTAATCCTAAAAGACTCACGGCTGGGGATGTGCATTCAGCTTCACTGAAACACCCCCCCCCCTCCAATCGGTACTTATCGGTACTTTTCGGTATTTTTAAAGCTAAATGCAAATTCAGGAAACTTTTCGGCTGCCAAATACAGTTTCCCAAATTTACTCAGCTTTTGGATAGTCCAGTGCCTTCTTCCCTCCCCACTGTGGCTTCCCTGGTCAATTTCACTCCCTGCTGGTCCCCTGTGGGAGTGAAACTGACCAGGGAATGCCTCCTCTCTGCCTTCCCTTCTCCAGCTGCCCCTGGGTTGCTGGAGAAGAACAGACAGAGAGCCCAGCTATGTTTAAATGCCTTTCTTTCCCTCTCCCAGTTCAAGGAGGGAAAGAAAAGCATTTAAACATGCCTCGGATCCTTGCCTGTCCCTCTCCAGCAGCCATGGGGCCCCTGGAGAAGAACAGGCAGGGAACCCAGGCATGTTTAAATGCCTTCTTTCCCCCTCCCCCTTCCTCTCCCTGAGCTTCTCTGTTGCAGTGGAGAGGCTCAGGGAGCGGAGGCATGTTTCCATGCTTGCCCTTGGCTTCCCCAGCCAACCTTTGTTTGGGGGGGAAGCAGCCAGGGAAGCAAAGGGCAGGCATGGAAACATGCCTGGGCTGCCTGCCTTCCCTTCACCAGCTGCCCCAGGTCAGTTAGAGAAGGAAAGGCAGAGAGAGTAGGCTTTGCCTTGTCAGTTTCATTCCCCTGGCCAGTCTGCTGTTAGGTTTAAATGGCTTAAATCCAACAGCTGACTGGTGGGGAGCGAAATTGAAAAGGAAAGCTGAACTCGCTTCCAGATGGAAAGAAGGCATTTTTACAAGCCTCCCTTCCCTCCTGTCATGTATACCAGACCTGAATATATATTCAGCAATACTGAATATTTCCCCATCCCTGATACTTTACCGGTATTGGACTGGTGATATTCGGGATTTACTGATATTTTTCGGGTCTGATATACCCGAAGCTGAAAAATATCAACTTTTTTGCACACCCCTATGATCAAGGAATGGTTGTGTCTGCACCCTAATAATTGTTTTAATTATGGCTTTTGCCTCAATTGTTAGCCGCCCTGAGCCTTAGGGGAGGGCAGGATATAAATTGAATTATAAATAAATAAAAGGCTACTTAAGACAGAACTAGAGTATCATTTTAGCCATTGTGTTAAATAGATCCTATAATATAAACATTATTCAGTCTTCACTTGACATTTGATAGAAACTAGACTCATTCAGTGATAAGCCTATTCAATACAAGCATGTTTTTTCCCCTTGAAATCCCAAAATTCAAACTTACAGATGTCATTACTCAAGCTTAAGCCAATGCCACAGGTAAAACTGCTTGCAGAAAATTAGACCATAACCCAAATTTATAAAATTAGACCAGTGCAATTGACTTCACCTTACACGACTACATAAAAAGGTACCAAATTTAGCCTACAGTGTGGCAAGGAAAGAGGCATGTTCTTCATTCTTTCAGCACATGCTCGTTACAATTCACCTTTGTTAGTGCAGCAGCCTTACCCTGAAGCGACTTGATCTTTTAGTCTGGGACACAGATGACATGTGCCTCAAGGAAAAATCTTGCTATGAAGGCAGTGTAAACTGTAAATCCCTATCCCTATTATAGTAAAGCTAGATGCTATAGATCGCTGAAAGTTACTTTCCACTGTACATACAGTGAAACAGAGCAGGTCCTCCCTGAGCCCCCAACTAGATGTGGATGCTTGAACCAGGAGATCTTGTGGATAGGATATCTGAAACACTCTCAAAGTGGGAGAAGGCCTCCTTATTTTAGAGACATGTCATTAGCAATGATTTAAGATAAAAGGGATGCCTCACTTACACAGTGTAACTAAAATACATGACAGTAAGTAAGGTCCTTAAAGAGATGGGAGTACCAGACCACCTCACATGTCTCTTGAGAAACCTGTATAAGGGCCAAGAAGCGACAGTTAGAAGCGGATATGGAACAACTGATTGGTTCAGCATAGGAAAAGGAGTACGACAAGGATGTATATTGTCACCTTGCTTATTTAATATATATGCAGAGTACATCATGCGAAATGCTGGCCTAGATGAATCACAAGCGGGAATTAAGATTGCTGGGGGAAAGATCAACAACCTCAGATATGCAGACGATACCAATCTGATGGCAGAAAGTGAAGAGGACCTCAAGAGCCTCTTGCTCAGGGTAAAAGAGGAGAGCGCAAAAGTGGGCTTGAAGCTCAACATCAAAAAAACTAAGATCATGGCATCCGGCCCCATCACTCCTTGGCAAATAGAAGGGGAAGTCGTGGAAGTAGTGACAGACTTCACGTTCCTGGGATCCCAGATCACTGCAGACTGTGACAGCAGCCATGAAATTAAAAGACGCCTGCTCCTTGGGAGGAAAGCGATGGCGAACCTAAACAGCATGATAAAAAGTAGAGACGTCACCCTGCCAACAAAAGTCCGCATGGTCAAAGCAATGGTATTCCCAGTAGTCATGTATGGCTGCGAGAGTTGGACTATAAGGAAGGCCGAGCACCGAAGAATAGATTCTTTTGAACTATGGCGCTGGAGAAGACTCTTGAGAGTCCCTTGGACTGCAAGAAGAACAAATCAGTCAATCCTAAAAGAAATCAACCCTGACTGTTCCCTGGAAGGCCAGATAATGAAACTGAAGCTCAAATACTTTGGCCACCAAATGAGAAGGGAGCACTCACTGGAGAAGACCCTGATGCTGGGAAAGATTGAAGGTCAAAGAAGACGGGGACGGCAAAGGATGAGATGGTTAGACAGTGTCATAGATGCAACGAACATGAAACTGAGTACACTTCAGAGGACGGCGGAAGACCGGAAGGCCTGGCGGGAGCTGGTCCATGGGGTCGCGAAGAGTCAGACTCGACTGTGCGACTGAACAACAATAACAAGAAGTTAAAATACTTTTACCAATACAACAACTTTCAGTAGCACTTTCTGAGGCCTTGAAGATTGGTACTGTCCTCTTTTTATGCAGGCAACATGTGAGCCTAATGTGCTCTAATTGTGATTTAACTGCATGCACATGATTCTGTGTGTGTGTGTGTGGGGGGGGAGAGACATAATTTCCAAGCTGACGTTTAGAGAAGGGATGAGAAGAAAGTTGACCTAGTGCACCACACTAAAAGAGTTGCCACTAGTGTGAGACATTTAGAAAAAAAAGAGATTGGATTTATATCCCGTCCTTCACTCAGAGTGGCTTACAAACTCCTTCCCCTCCCCACAACAGACATTCTGTGAGGTAAGTGGGGCTGAGAGAGCTCTTTTGAGAACTGCTCTTTCAAGAACAGCTCTCACAGAACTATGGCTTGCCCAAGGTCATCCAGCAGCTGCAACCAGAGGAGTGGGGAATCAAACCCAGTTCTCCTAGATTAGAGTCCGCACACTTAATCACTACACCAAACTGGCTCTCAACAGGTTAGGAAAGCAGTGTGCCATTAGGATGTTTAACTTTTTAAATCTCACCATGCACTTGCATACTAGATTTCACTTACAATTTAACAAAAGTGAGACAAGTTGTTTAAAATTACACTTTTGCTCCATATTCAGTCCCAAATATACGCAAACTATGCTATCCCAACAGAGACGAACATACATGTAGACAAGACTTCACACACTCCAATAATACTTAAATATTTCCAGGTTTCTAAAACCAAAATGCAAATAACCTCAGTTGACAATGTTCTCAGAAAAAGACTGTGGAGACCACATAACAAATGAAAATATTTGGAAAACGATTGTTACACTTACTCTCATTTTACAATACTATTTTAAAGACACTGTTAAACTCTGTGGGAACAACCTGGGGGTCATTATTACTAAGGGTAAATTGCTACTGTAAGAAAAAATGGACTAATAATAATGACAAAAAGAACAAGCTGCATTCATCTTTGCTCCTTTTGCTGCTGTTAACCCTATTTTTTCACACTATTAATTTATAACTATATCTAATAGCAAACTAGCTGGCCCCTGTGAAAACCGTACAATGGTGCCATCTGCAAACGACAGGAATCCCCACCTACTTATGTAAGAAAACATGATTTTATAAGTTAACCAAAAGAAAAAGTTATGTTATAAAAAACCCTTCAAAAATCAGCCTGAGGACTAAATATGCTCTCGAGGATCAGAACTGAGCACAGCTACATGGCAATTAAGAAGGTGGGGAAGAATCAGCTGGCTCAAGGACCTAAGAAAATCCTAATTTCCAAGTCTTCCCTTCCTCCATTATTCCTTATACGCTCCCAGCTTGTTGATCTCTATGAAGTGCAGAACACTGAATTTGTTCGCTGCCGCCAAGAGAAAAAGACAAAGCTAAACACAAAAACAACACAATTCAAAGATACCATTCCACTACTGGAGAACAGAAGTGAAATTCACTACTCTGATAGAATACATGGCAGAAAATATAACCTCTTTTTCTCCAGCCTGTACAAAATTCAGGTCTGGCATGGAGCTGTCCCTCTTTGACGTGTTTCTTCAACTATTTAACCAGTAACTTGACAACTGCAATTCTTAAAACAGAAGCAAAACATTAACTTAAACATCTTCACAACTATGTTATTTACACCACACATTTTATCTGCAGAAGAGAGGAACTTATGAAGTGATTTAAAACATTACCCTGTACAAAAAAGCCTTATATGCAGTCTTTCAGTAAAGACAGAACAGGCATTAAGAACATAATGCAAAACATTCACAGAACTCTAGTTTCTTGTTGCATTCCAGCTATATGTTTATTTAACACATAAATCTACCCCATTCAGCTCATGTCCATATTAAGAACGCACAAAAAAGTAAACTTATTTTAAGAGAAAGGCGAAAGAGCCAGCATACTTCAATTTCATTCATAATTCAAAAATTTAAATTGGTATGCATAAGGCACAACTGAAATTTGTATATACAAAAAACTGAATTGGCTAAGATAAAAAGAAGACTACCTACCGACTGTTTACTGTTTTCATCATCATCTTCATCATAACCATCTTCCTCTCCATCCATCTTACTGAAATCATCCTCTCCATAACCTTCTGACACCAGGCCTCCTTTCTCTTCTAGTCCAAACAAAATGAAAGGGGAAAACAAGTCTAGATTTAGTAATGGAAAAATATGCATACACTCCAAAAATACTAGATGCTACATAGAAAATGCATTTTGATACATTTAAATAAGATGCCACAAGCCCTTTAAAAAGTGCTATGCCCCAGCAGTCATAAGCACATTAGTTGTCTGTTTAATTAAGAATGTTCAGATCCACAGTCTCACAAGTGAAAAACATTACAGCTAAACTTTAAAATAAAGTTGATGTGAAAGTGTGAAAGTGCCATCATATATGTATGAGACAAAGAAGCTGCCTTATGATTGCAGATATCTGACACTTAAAAAAAACCAAACTGGATGAGGTATGTGGTGTTGCAGGGGCCTATTTACTTCATTTGTACCCCACTTTCTCCCAATGGGGACCCATTCTACTATGCTCCATTTAATCTTGTAACAACCTTGTGAAGTAGGTTAGGCTGAGAGAGTATGACTAGCCCAACATCACCCAGTATACTTCCATACCATAAATGGAGGATTTTAATCTAGGTCTCCCAAGTACTAGTCCAACACTCTTAACTGCTATACCACACTGTATCTCTTATCATAGAGGAAGAGAACAACAACAATCCAAAAAAATGCTTGTGGCACACTAGAACAATGTATGGTTTACACGTGGAAGATCCCAAATTCAATCTCTTCAATTAAAACGGTCTCAGGTCTCTGCCAATCGGAGTAAGAATAGTCAGCAGTGGGCTAGATGAAACAATGGCCCGGTTCTGTATAAAACAACATCATCTGTTCAAATACTCCCCCTCCCCCAATCTAGTGGCACCAGAGAAATCAAACAATAAACCCACCGTCCCTTTCCTTCCAATCCACCCAGAAACAGACGGGATTTCCCCCCTCCTCCGCAACCCCACAAAAACCTCACCTGGGCCTGTTCCTCGCTCGCTGCCTACCCCGCCGGCTTCACTATCCGATTCTGGCTCAGAATCCTCAGCATAAACAGCTAATGAAGAAAGAACACTCTTTTTTGCTGCCGCCATTTTCACGTTCCACCTTCTTTATGCGGTTGTCTTCCGACGCGCAAGAGTGACGTTTATTCAGCGGGTGAAGCGGTCACCATAGTAACAAGAAGCAGCTGAACTACAGTCCCTCCACATTCTTCATGCTTTCCTCCACTTCTTCCAGGAAAGATGAAACGGAGAAAGAGTATTGAGACTGTTTTGTGTGATTAAAAGAGACCATTCTTAAATGGCGAGGCTCACTAAAACACGAGGTAGACGTCATCAATTCGCGCCCAAGCAGTGCCGGCTGTGTAAGCGGCTGCCGGAAGTTGAATACGCGCACTATTAACTGAAGAACTAAACAACTATGGCGGAAAGATGTAGATTGAGAGAATTCAGAGGCTCGTAGCGGAATACGTAGAAGTAGCGTGTGTGTGGAAATTGTTGGACTAAAATATTGTTTCTAAGGTGCTAGGAATGATTGCTCTTAACTGAAAAGGGGCTGTGTTGCGTGGAAATAATTTCTGCTTGTGAAAACTTTACTCCGTAAAAGGGCGTTTGGATTTCCCAAGTCTCCGTTTTTCTCCATCCTCTGATACTTTTGTGCTAGAAAGTAGCATGGGAATGATAGGGGGATAATAAAAAGGCCGCGTCGTTCATTCAGTCGTAGTGTGATTGTGGGTGTTGAGCTGCTTTTCATCGTTTTCTTCTCCTCTCCCCAGAGAGTTGAAGGTACTGGGTGAGTCTTCGGGTTACATAAAGAAGCCTGAGATCGAGCTTAGAAGTCAGTTATATAAGATGAAAAGTCATAAGGATATAAAAGGTTTGTGAAAATGAAAAGAAGGTTGTCCCTTCTACAGTGGCAAAGGAAGACCAGAAAGTATGGAGTTTTGAGTTCTGTGTTCCCTATTAGCGGGCCTTTTGGTTTTAACATAACCTTCCACCTTGTCTCTGTTCTTAACTCTTTTTATTTTCGTATAAAAAACTAAATTAGTTAATGCAGATGATGTGGTTATGCTTGTGCCAAAAGAAGACTGTGTCATAGATAGACGATGTATATGTTGATAGGAATATTTAGCCTGTCATTTTTGAGACTCAGGTCTTGGTGATGATTTGCTGTGGAAGTAGGTAAATGTGTTACAGTTCTCTTTTTATCCCTGCCTTGATCATTCCTAGTATCTCCCTGTAAGATGAACAACTGCTTTTCTGCAAGACTGGAAGGCAGAGTTCAAGGAACTCTGAAAAAAGTGTTTGGATTTGATTCTTTCAAGACTTCGTTGCAGGAAAGGGCAGTTATGACAGTGGCAAAAGGTAAATGACAGCTGGCTTTTTCTTTGTTATCAATAATGGGGATGAAAGATTTTGTTTCCCTTCCTTAGGTATGCTATTAAATATTTATTTTTGTGCTAGATGTAAAAACACCTTCAAAAAACCAGATTTCCACTCACTGGACAACCATCTGGATTTGTCATATTTAATAGCACCATTGGGAAGACAGTGCATTTTAGTAGCATAAGGAATAGTATAGTAGTATATAAACAATACTTAGTTTGTAGCAGAAGTTTTCCAAAGCAAGATTTGCAGGCCTCTCTGACTCTTTGTTCTATTTATTAGTTTCCTGAAGAACTCTTACTTTAAGAACCAATGAATGCTTGGCCGAATCACTTCTCTGTGTTTACCTTTCCGGTTATAGCAGTTCCTGTCTCTCAGGAATTGTTAAATTGGTGCATGATCCCACTGTGAATTCAGTGGGACATTGCCAAACAAGTAAGTATAGGATCTTAGCCTTGATTTGCTAATGTACATGGGTTCTAGATTTTTTGATTTCTCAAAAATGAGTGACTTCTGTTCACTTGTAGCCTTCAGCACTATGTAGTATAGAACAGTATATTTTTGATTAGACTTTATAGTAATGCAAATAGATACAGGCACTGTAGGTTGTTTTTGAATTTATTGTTATATTTTGTTAATAAATATATATTTCAGGCATTGAGAATTGTACAATTACAGCCGTATCATAAGGTTTTAAGAGCAGCAGCCTTGTGAAAGAACCTGAGCCACTCTTGTGTCTTCTGGCTTCTACTCCTGTGCATTTGGGGGGGGGGGGTAATCCTTACAGGATCCTGTTATGTAGTAATTTTCACTGAGAGATTGTGACTTTTATAAAGCTATTTAGCTGAACAAGGATTTGAATCTGTGTCACACATATCTAAACTTAATCCACTGCATCATACAGGCTTTAGTTCTTGACAAATCAAAGGAGCCATAGAAAACATACAATTACTGTCGGTATTTTGCCATTGGCAGCATTTGCAGCTAAGGCCTAGAAGATGGTGGAGAGAAGTTCTATGTTCAGAATTTGGTATAGCTGGTATCAGTTTGATTGTTTATAAAGAGGCACAGCCTACTGCTGAATTGGGTCTTCTAGCTCCTGTTGGTGGTAGCTATGTTCAGGTGGTTTGCTGCTGCCAGAGGTGCATTGTAGTTACATTTTCTAGTGCAGGACTCTCTGTTGCACAGTATTGTAGTGTAAGATTACACTATCCAAAATGTGGTTTCTTGTATATGTCTTGTCAGTCTCGTAAATAACTGTTTCAAAAGTGCTATCTGCTTCGCCCTCAAGGACTTCATATCCAGGCCCTGAGAGCAAATTCGAAGTAAATGAGTAATGTTTTTAAAAGTCTTGAATGATGCTTTTGCAGGTGAAAAGGACGTCTTTATATGTATGCCCACTGGGGCAGGGAAATCTCTATGCTACCAGCTTCCTGCAGTCCTGGCATCAGGCATCACCATTGTTATTTCACCTTTAATTGCACTGATTCAGGTAACATCTCATGTTAAGTGAGAGGGAAGAATCTGTAAACTGATGGGGGCCAATTCAGAGACCAAAGAAAAACCTGAAATTTCTGAAATGAACATTCTGTTAGCTGGTCCAACTGTATCTAAAGTGCTTTGTTAGGCATTGGATCAGTATTATATTTAGTTGTGCAGTTTAGTGTTGATACACACAGGGGTCATTTCCTGCAGGAGCGCACAGGAGTGGAGCTCCAGCAGTAAAGAGCCTAGGGGGCGGGCACATGCAACAAGCCCCACCCCCTGCTTCCAGCAGCCCTCAGTCAGAGCAAGAAGCAGCCGGGTAAGTTGCAGAGCTCCCCCAGGCCCCCCAGTTCAAAACAGTCTAGTGGCACCTTTAAGACCAAGTTTTATTCAGGTACAAGCTCTCCCTCCTCTGTGAGGACAGATCTGCACGTTCCCCCCCCAACTAACAATCCAAAACAGTCCAGTGGAGCCTGAGCGGTGGGTGTTGCCTTCTGACACACTTCCGGTGATGTCAGGGTGTGTGGCATATGCAAATAAGTTATGCTAATGAGCTCCTGCACCTCTTTTTCTACAAAATGACCCCTGGATACACATAACCCAGTGAAAATTGTATGTATTTTTTGTCAGCTTTTAAAAGATGTTCTCCTGTTAATTCTTTTCAATAATGGATCTCTATCAAAGGCTTAGAGGTTAAGACGCTGAGCTGCAGACCGGAAGGTCGATAGCTTGGCAGTTCGAGACCCGAGTGCTGCGTGGCAGAGTGAGCTCCTGTCTCTGGCCCCAGCTCCTGCCAACCTAGAAGTTCGAAAGCAAGAAATTGCAAGTAAATACATAGGTCCCATTTCAGTGGGAAGGTAACAGCGTTCCATGTGCCTTGGCTGGCCACATGACCACAGAAAAGTCTTCAGACAGTGCTGGCTCTTTGGCTTGGAAACAGAGATGAGCACCGCCTCCTAGAGTCAGATTCGACTAGCTTTTGAGCAAAGGAAACCTTTACCGATCAAAGTTAAGAGATCCCCCCCCCCCCAATTAAGTGTGCCATGTAATTCTCCTCTCTTCAAGAAAATATGAGATAATAGAGTATTTGGACAAGTTTGGAAAACACAGTCAGACTTGTGAGTTAAGTTTGATTGATTATTACTAACTCTTTGTTGCAGCTATTTCGGTAAAAAGTTGCTTGCTTCAGAATATGTTGCTTTCTTCTACCATAGGACCAAGTGGATCATTTGCTGTCACTGAATGTGAAAGTAAGCTCTCTGAACTCCAAAATTTCTGCTCAGGAGAAGAAGACCATCCTTGCTGACTTGATGAGTGAGAAACCCCAAATAAAGCTGCTGTACATCACACCAGAGATGGCAGCTTCCTCTTCCTTTCAGCCCACCTTGGCGGTTCTGGTGTCCCGAAATCTTCTCACTTATCTGATAGTTGATGAGGCTCACTGTGTCTCCCAGTGGGGACATGACTTCCGACCAGACTACCTGCGGCTCGGTTCCCTGCGTCATCGTATACCCAATGTGCCATGTGTAGCCTTAACTGCCACAGCTACCAAGCAGGTTCAGGATGACATTGTAACATCGCTTAAACTAAAGCAACCTGTCGCTGCCTTTAAGACATCTTGTTTCAGGTCCAACCTATTCTATGATGTGCAATATAAAGAGCTCTTAACTGATCCTTATGAAAACCTGAAAGATTTTTGTCTGAAGGCTCTTGGGCAGAAGAGCCCTTCTGGGGTAGGTTAAATCTCTACGAGGCAGCATTTTAATTATTTAAAATGTTCTATCCTGTCTTCCTTGTATAAACTGTAGGCGACTTACATCTTTATGGCCTGCCTTTCTCCAAAGCGGCTTATCTTGTTCTCCTCTCTTCCATTTTATCCTCACAATAGACCGGTGAGGATGGTCAGGCTGACAATGTGTGACTGGCCAAAAGTTACCCTGCAGGCTTTCATGGCAGAGGGGGGATTTGAACCTGGAGTCTTCCAGATCCTAGTGAGACTTTCTCACCACTATACCATGCTGGTTCTAAGGCAGAACAGTGGAATGAAACCTAGATTTTCTAATTTATTCTCATAGAATATAAAGGGTAAACCCCTGAAAAAGTAAAGATATAACAATACATTTTAAATGGCATTGCTCATATATGTTAAAAGAGCACATGCACATTTCTTTGCCTCAATTAAAAAACAACTGAAAAAGAAATTGGCAGATATAAGGGCATGCTTATTCCCAAGTAGGTGAGTATAGGACTGCAATTCTAATCATTTATGATTGATGAGTATATTGGGAAAGTTTAAACAGTTGTAGTCTGTGATGTGTGTATACGCAGTGCTTTACACATTATCCAGTTGCTATAACTTTAATTTGGATTTTCACAAAATTTGGAATACTGTGGCAGGAAAGAAATTGGGAAGCAAGGGTAGTGGGGAAATCAAGATTTAGGGCAACATAAGAGAATAACAGCTTTGGCCAGTGAAAGCCATTCTATCTTCTGAGTCTTCAGTATGTATTGCAATAAAAACTGCCCATGCATTTTTAAATCTTTTCCCACAGATGTAAGGACTAGAACTTAAATTTAAATAAAATAGAAGGGGGGAAAAGAAATAGAAAAAAATGCATCAAATTGCATATTCATTCCTGTGTAGTTGGAATAGTGAGTCTTTCAGGTACGAATTAATTACAAGGCACACACTTAAAAGCGGCTTCCGTTGTTTGTCAGTTGTTTTGACACCTTCAATCTGTAGCACTGATTAGCCACTTCAGTTGATTTTCTTATGACACTTTCAGTTGTCTGCTTTTTCTTCTTCTTGTGCAGGGCTATTTGGGCTGTGGAATTGTGTACTGCAGGATGAGAGAAGTCTGTGAGCAGTTAGCTATTGAGCTAAGTCACAGGGGAGTGAAAGCCAAGGCCTACCATGCAGGTAATGAAATCTGTGTCTCCATCTTAGCTGCTTTAATCATTTCTATAAGCAAAATAATTGTCTCGTTCTTATGTATAGGCCAAGGGACTAGTAAGTTCTAATTTAAGTGCAATGGCAAGGACTGATCCTAGATTTCTCTTTCTTTGGTGCACAAACTCAGTAGGGCACTAATTCAGCAGCATACTGAATTTGCTGCATAGAGAACAAGACCCTTCCTAAACCTTATTAAAAGACAGAAACAATTGAGGGGCTCAGTTATTTGCAGAACGTTCAGTCTATGGCATCAGCAGTTAAAGGATCTTGTGTAGCAGTTGTTAAAGAATACTATTCTCTGCTTGAGATCCTAGATCATAAGATGTACTAGAAATCTGAGATTATTATTTTCATGTGGCTTCTGAAAATGCCTATCCCCTATCGACTGCCTCTTCAACTTTCCCCTTTGTCCCTGCATCCTGCAGCCCTTTCCTTGGCCCCTTGCATCTATGTGTTGTTTTATCAAACACTTTCTTCCTTCTCCTTTCCTGGACTCCCATGCTTGTTTTGTTTTAGGCGACTTTTCCTTGCACTTTGCTTCTCCTGTGCATCTTTTGCTAACCTTCTACTCTTTTTCCCTCTTGCCCCATCTTCTCCTTTCTTTGCCCCCATTTCATAGGCCACTGCCTCCTTTCCCTTTTTCCTTTATTTGTTTAAACATTGTACCTGGTTTCTCAGTAGCATTTCTAGATAAGGACTTGAGAGAGTGTGAATGAAAACATTCTCTTGGGAGCAGCTTGCCGGCCATCCTCCCAAGCAACTCACATACTTAGCAAAGGCCAAAATGGAGTTACAAAGGCCACACAGCTATGAGGTTCCTGAGTCAAGCCTCAGATTCCTTGGTGCTTTTCTCACACAAGCTGACAAAGTAATGTAGGAATGATATTCAGCCGGATTCAAAAGCAAAGTTGTGAATGTGAAGTATATGAAATTATGACCATTAGTGAAAGGTCATAAGGATATCTTCCCTTTGATACTATACTCCCTTGTCTTTTCTCAGGATTGAAGGTAGCAGAGAGGACATCAGTTCAGAATGAATGGATGGAGGAGAAAGTTCCTGTAATTGTTGCTACCATCAGTTTTGGAATGGGAGTTGACAAAGCTAATGTCAGGTATGTGTAGAGTCATCCCAAATAGGAGAAACATTGTTTTTATTTTCCACTATAGTTCCTTAGCCCTGACATGGATAGCCCAAGCTAGTCTGATCTCATCAGATCTCAAAAGCTAAGCAGGGTCAGCCCTGGCTAGTACTTGGATGGGAGACCGCCAAGGAAATCTAGGTTTGCTATGCAGAAGCAGGCGATGGCAAACCATCTCTGAATGTCTCCTGCCTTGAAAACTCTATGGGGTCACCATAAGCCAGCTGCAACTAGACAGCCAAAAATAAAAGTTCCTTAAGACCTGTAAGAACTTGCTAGAGTGTATTTCCCTTCTCTTCATTGAGGGGATGGTCATGAGGAAAAAAGGATCTTGTCACAGAGTGGTCTAGATTTAGGTTGGCCTTGCATTTGTGTTCAGGCCTGTATGCGGTGAGCAGTGGCACAGTGGGTATATCCCACTGTCTTAACATCTGAACTGTGTTAGTTCAGGCCCCGCGCTGGTGTGAGCAGGCAGCCTGTTGTCCCCAGCTCATCGTCCACCCAGCGATTCGAAAACTTCGGCGAGTAGATAAAATGGGAACCACTCCTTAGAGAGGGTGGGCACGCCAATCTCCCTTGTGGGAGGGTGTTAGCTGACGGTCGAACGTCCTGGCCGAGACTTGGAAGGCGAAATAGCTTCTCGGCTACGAAAGAATCCCTGCAATGGATGTTCCGGCCAGGCGGTGGCAGTGTGGCGATTGACATACGGGTCCTGAAGCCTGGCCAACACGCAGCCATGCGGAAAATGATGGAGCCAAGCCAGAAGACGTCTATACCGGGCAGTGATGGCGCGTGCAATTAAAAATGAATATATGTTGTCTTCCCTATCACCTACAAACATTGTTAGTCCCTTGTCTATATTGAGTAACTGTACATCGCTTTGAGCCCACTGGGGAAAGTGATTAATAAATGGAAAGTGTTGTTGTTGTTGTTGTTGTTGTTATTATTATTATTATTATTATTAGGAATGTAATGGCTTTATTGTCTTATACCATGTAGATTTGTTGCACACTGGAATATGGCAAAGTCTATGGCTGGGTATTATCAGGAATCAGGAAGGGCTGGAAGAGATGGGAAGACATCTTGCTGTCGCCTCTATTACTCTCGGACTGACAGGGATCAACTCAGCTTCTTAATCAAGAAAGAAATTGCTAAACTCCAGGTGGGAGCTTTGTACAGCTTTGTTCAATAGGGCTCCATTCTCTGCCTAATTAGCCTATCTTGGGTAATGGCCTTTGGTTCACCCCAGCCCAAATATTTATTGTCTGTAGCCTACCTTAGAATTACACTTTTGCATTGAGTGTAATTGACTACAAATGCTTTATTTTGTGAGCTGCCTTGAGCATGGCAAGTGTGTAGGCCTGCAAATTTCACTTAAGAGTAGCTGGATATGGAGCTGACTGCTGCAGTATTACTGGAGCAGAATAAAGGGTAAGAGGACATAGCTATGTTCTTATGTGAGGTAGAGAAGCATAGCTGCAGAAGCCTATATCACTTCCCATTGACTTCAAAGGGATTGCAGTATCATCAACATAAGAAAATCGGAACTGGATCAGACTATCTAGTCCAGCATGCTATTTTGTGTAGTGGCCAACCAGCTCCTGGGAAGCGGCAATAGGGAGAGGCTATAACTGCCTCAAAGAAGGTCCTAGGGACCAAAGCCTCTTTCTGTTACTGCCTCCCAGCAGCTGGTAGTCAGAAGTACACTGCCTCTGAGCAGGGAGGTTCCATTCAGTCTTTGATAGAGCTATCTTCCACAAATTGATCTAATCCCTTTTTAAAGTCATCTAAAGTAATGACTTGGTGGCAGTGAAGATAAGTTAGTTGCACATTGTGTGAAGGATGTCCTTTTTCCTCCCATTGTGTTCATTCAGTCTGTAGCATAGAACTTGCTTCTTTTGCTGCTGCTGTTCACTAAGTGACATTTTCATTGAGCTGTCTACCGTGACACCACTTTCCTCCTGAGTCAGTACAAGTTCCAATCCCACTAGGATTTTTTGCCAAAATCTGCCTCACTTTACACTTACTTATAGCGACATTGTTGCCTAGTTACTATATTCAGAGAGATCCTCTCTTAGAGCAACTAATATCGTGCTTTTGTATTTGTTATCCTAAATAATCTGTCTGCAAGGTTGCCCACTTCACTGTTCAACCCAGATTCCAGGTAACAAATTAAATAGTACTAGTGTCATGGATATATGTCAATACCTGTGGCTATGATTTTTGGTAGTCCTCACTTTGTGAAGAACATGGTCACGCTCGAGTTATTTTATTTTCTTTTTTTTTTCACCAGGGAGCGTCTTTGTTTTGACTTTGAATTCCCTATCAAGAATCAATGCAAGAAGTTTTTAGTTGTTATGAGATGCAGCTGTAGGAATGAAATAAGCACCCTGGGTCAAAATTGTTAAAAGAGAAGAGTTGAACCCAGACTCTTGTCTGACACTTTAACGCAATGCTCCTCCGGCTCTACATGTCCAACACTCTAATCACTATAACCATAGACAGGCAAAACTTCCATTTTAGGAACACTTTTTGCCTTTTATAGTTTTTTTAACTTAATGTGGATGTTTTCTTAGATTTGATGGTATTGGGCCTCATCTATGTTATATATCATATATCTAAGATTCAGTGATTGTGAAGTTGAATAACTTTCAAGCATCCTGACCCTATTTGCTTTCCCTTTCACCTTCCTTGTGGCTAATCCCCTCATTTTTAAAATGTTTCCTCTTCTGAAATCAGTTGTGGCCATCTTAGGCCTTTGGGCAACTTTTCTTTTATGTAACTGTTCAACCTAATAGGAGTGTGGTTCAGCTGACTATCATTCAGGATTAACTCAAGGGTTGCTTCTCCTGTAGTTTGTTCCATGACTGTTTCAAATCACAGTCATCTATGGTAACTAGAAATTGTGTTTCTTAAACTAAACATGCAGTTACCAAGTCAATTCAAGAATGGTTGAAATCATTTTTATGCTGCCTCCTTTGGTTGCCTCCCATATAGCTTTCTCCATTTTCAGTCAAAATCAGAATATGTTCCTAGGGCTAGATTTCCACCCATAACGGTTCTGGAAAGGAATGTCTTCCTCTTGATTTTTTAATTGTATTAGACTGTAGGGCTGCCGACAGGGGAAGCCACAGGGGGGAACAAAATTCAGGGGGCCCAAGTCAGCTGGAGGGCCTCTGGAGCTGGCATCATGCTGTATTCATGGAATGCATTTAATTTTTTTTCTAATCAGTTCTTACTGCAGCCACTAGGAGCACAGGGAAAGCAGAGCACAGTAAAAAGCCCTCTCTGAATCTGGTGCTTGGCCTTTCTGCAAAGTTTACAATGAGGCTGAGAGTAACTCTTGCTTCTCAGATCCTGCTAAACCTATCAGCCAAGCCAGCACTATAGCAAGGCAAGACTATCCAGAGCAAGCTATAGTCAATGCCAGGATGCAGCCTACTAAGGTCTATGGTTTCCTTTTTCTGTTAGTTCCACCCAGCTCTTGCACAGCTAGATCTTGCAAAGGGGCAGCCTTGTTAGTATGTGGTAGCAAAATTTTTAAAAACCCTTTTGTTATCTTTCTACATTTCCCCAGCTCTTTTCCACACTTTTCTCCACCTTCATTTTGCTCTTTCTTTCACGATCTGCCATTCATCTATCCCCACTTCTAATCCCCCCCCCCCCCGTTTTCAGTCTCAGTGTCTCCTGACCCATCCTGATTGGCAACTTAGAATGTATTTAATAGTGGCATAGGAGCAAGCCTTTGTTAATGTTATGAACAGAAGGGAGAATTAATATTTCCCCATAATAAGTCAAAGTCGTAAAAGGATGCTTCTCCCCCTTAACATGCATGATAATAAAAGTTAATCTGCCTCAGTGGTAATAAATGAAGAACCAAAGTTAGAACTAATTTATTTGCTTTATATCACACCTTTCTTTCCAAGAGGTACCCAAAGCAGCTTACATTGTTCTCCTCTTCTCTGTTTTATTCTCCGAACAACTCTGTGAAGTGGGTTAGGCTGAGAGTCAGGGGCGTAGACTTTCCAATTTCCCGGGGGGGCACCTACGTCACAGGGACCAATTTCACACAAGAGTTGTGCCGCGGTCACGCCTCCCTTTGCCCCGCTTCTACTGGTCAATTTCCCACTCGAAGCCGCGGGGCCGCATTTTGACCCACGGCTTCGGCTGATTTTTCCTGCAGTTTCGTGAAAACGAAGAGTTTTTCCCTCAAATGGCGTGGCCCCGCCCCCAGCGTGTGACATCACTTCCGGGTGACACACATGCGGCGCGCGCTATGCGCGCGCACACGGAGACACCGCCGTCTGGGAGCCCCCCGCTCCCGGACAAATTGGATTTGGCAACCCTAGCTATAATGTGTTTAATACTACATTATTAAAGAATTCAGTATTTTCAATGTTATAATGTTCAGTTTAATATCCAAACAACACTCTCATAGCATTTCTGCCCCAATAATCTTCTTCCTTTTGTTTACTACAGAACTTTTCTGCATTCACCTTTCCCCCCTACCTCTCAAATAGAAAAAAACTAAAAATACATGTACAATGGAAGCATAGGATGAAGCAATTTGCAACTCTTGCTCGAGTATTGGGTATACCTGTGATCTTTCTTAAAGAAATTAAAGACATTTATACTTTTAAATTCCATAAATATGTTAAACAGTACAATTTTACATGTCAAGTTATAATGGTTCACTTTAATTAGTAAAAGAAGCAGAGGTCTGATAGGAAAATAAGTATTACATATATTTTTATATATATATATATACTTTTTAAATTATTTTCTTTCTACAAACACTACAACACTACAAAACACTAAAACACTATACTAAACCGGTGGCCTCCCAGTTGCGGGACAGCGAAGGTGGAGCCAGGGCAGCGGCGGTGGCAGCAGCCACCGCCTAGCTGCAGGCACCCCCCCCACACACACGTGTTTCCACGGCGGCCGCAGGGCCGCTCTCGGCGGGGCTGGGGCCGGGCGGCTTCCTTCGTGGCAGGTGGGCGGGGCTTCTGCGGAAATTTCGGGGAAGGCGCAAGCCCCTCAGCCTTCCCGCAGATTACGCCGGTGCTGAGAGTGTATGACCGGTCCAGGGACACCCAGCTAGCTTCCATGGCAGAGTGGGGATTTGAACCTGGCTTTTCCCAGCTCATAGTCCAACACTTCAACCACTACACAAGCTTAGCTTCCATGGCAAATAGTATGGGGGGGAAGAGAGAATGTTTGGAGATAACCTGGGCCAGAATATTCCAGTTCCTTTCATTTTTGGCCCTGGAACTCCCATGATCATTCCGAAGCTGGTGGCCAATTTTGAGAGTCCTAGTTTTATTTTCTGAGTTATGCCTGCCACAAATGGACAGACAAATGGACATGTGGATCCTTTTATTACTACAGATGCATGGTAGCAGCCACCCAAGTGATTTGTTTTGTTACAATGTTTGGTTTGGATCAGGGTCATATGGGGGAGGAACCCAGATGGAATCTTTGTCTGGGGCCCATGGTGGCTCTTGGCAACCCTGTTGGGTTGTATGCCTTCTTTGACATACCAAGCTACACCTCTCCCACTACATTCTTCCCTTTCTTTTCTGTAATGTTTATACCTGGGGTAGCCCTATCCCACCAGGTTTCTGAAATGCCCAATATAGGTATGTCTTTGTTTACCACCATCTCATCTGCTTCCTCCATCTTGGTTCGGAGACACATAACATTTGCAAATAAAAACCTTCACGTTTCTGTCTATTGATGACTATGGCTAATTTGTCTTATTTTATTTTCCTTTTTTCCAGGAGAAACGAGGCACCTTAAAAGAATCGGATAAAGCCATGATGACAGACTTTGATGCTATGGTGGCCTTCTGTGGAGAGTTGGGGTAAGGTATAATTTGATGCTCTGATTGGGAAAGCAGATTTTTATTTTTAGGGACTTCGTCTTCTTTGATATGGTCCTACAGTGTGGTAAACTGGTTCTGGTAAGGGGAGGTTAGTATGTTGTTGTTGTTGTTGTTCAGTCGCACAGTCGAGTCCGACTCTTCGTAACCCCATGGACCAGATCACGCCAGGCCTTCCTGTTTTCCACCGTCCTCTGAAGTTGGCTCAATTTTATGTTTGTTGCATCTATGACACTGTCTAACCATCTCATCCTTTGCCGTCCCCGTCTTCTTTGACCTTCAATCTTTCCCAGCATCAGGGTCTTCTCCAGTGAGTGCTCCCTTCTCATTTGGTGGCCAAAGCATTTGAGTTTCATTTTCATTATCTGGCCTTCCAGGGAACAGTCAGGGTTGATTTCTTTTAGGATTGACTGATTTGATCTTCTTGCAGTCCAAGGGACTCTCAAGAGTCTTCTCCAGCACCATAGTTCAAAAGAATGTAGATGGCATCAAATATATAGATGGCTTTTAGCACTTTTCTGAATTAGTTTAGTGGGCATACATCCTGCATATTGTCATGCTTTCTGGCATTTCTCATTGGCTTCAGTCTTTCAGAAGAAAAGCAAGGTGAAACTAATAGCTTGATGGAGAAACAGTTTAGACTGAACATTTGTTAGAATAATGTCTTTCCTGCAAGAGTCTAAGCTTCCTTTGTACAGAAGCTGAAAACATTCAGGACTTTGCGGTTCATAAGTCTGGTAGTGAGGCCTTTCTATAGAAAAGCGGGAGAAGAATGTGCTGTTGAGTTAACAACCACCTCATGGTGAGGCCATCCATGAGATGTTCCAGGCAAGAGACAAGCAGAGGTGGTACGCCTTCCTGTATGTAGCAATCAGAGTCTTCTTTGGCAAGCACTGCAAGCACTGATTGTGGCCAACCCTTCAAAGTTCTAACTAGCTCAGGCTATGCTGGGCTATAGCTGTTGTACAGTTGGCTATGTTGAGGTGGTTGGGGCATATTTTTTGCAGTGAAAAGATGAACACATGTTTGCTAACTGGCAAAACATCTTTGGTTTATATCTGTGGACACTTCTTTATGGTAGTCCTAATGTGGGGACTGGAAGTCCATTGTTAGTACATATATTTTAACTTTAGGCACATGGAGAAATGCTTGTAGCTTAACACAGATGGTAAGGTATGGCTTCATGATGCATCCAAAGAAAAATACTTCATAGCTTTTGAGATCTTTGATCTCCACCTTACCTTGTCACCCCAAGGGTTCACTTCATGTTGTGTTAGGTAAGTTTCAGATTTCTCAAACTTCCCCACTGTGGTTAAATCTATCCTAAAACACATACAAAATGTGTTTAGAGTATCAGGATTTCTTGTGTTTATGGAGAAAAGATCCAACTGGAATATGGAGTTAAGAGTTCTGCCAGCTTGTAATTTTTAATCAGTCAATACTGTCTAGTATATTTTTATCCTTCCTTTTCTCCAAAGAGCTCAGAGTAGCATATGCGATTCCTCCTTTCCAATATAATCTTTGCAATAGCTCTGTAAGGAAAGCTGGCTGAGTCAGTGTGACTACTCCAAGGTCACCCAGGAAGTTTTGTGGCAGAGCAGAGAATTTGGACTTTGGTCTCCTGGACTTTAGTCTGATATTGCAAGCACAATACCACATTGGCAATCCACTATCGGGTATACTTTCTTACAAACTTGGCTGAGAAGAATGAGGCATTATGTAGGGTGAGAACATTGGTTAGAATGTCCTCCAGATCAGAACACACATGTTTACTTAATTAAGACATTAGATTTATTACCTGATCTAGTAAAACTCTAGCCAAGGAAACAAAAAGTTTTAGCTTTTATATACGGTAAGCAAATGAGATATCTTGCCCGACTACTGACTAGGGATGGGCATGAACTGGTTCATGAGCCAAAGTTTGGCACAAACTTTGCCCAGTTCGAAGCACCTGAACTAGGGGTGTGCAGGGGGGGGAAATTGTTTTTTTCAGATTTGGGTATAGTAAAGCTGAATTTTTTTGGTATTCCCAAATATACCTGAATACCAATATCGGTATTGTATTGGTACTCGAAAATATTTGGTATTCCCAAAAATATTCAGCTCCATTATATCCTATGGGGCCACTGTAGTCAATGGCAAAAATTTTCTAGCATGTTTGCAAGGCCAGCAGCAGAACCAGTGCAATGTGCCCACTAGAATCAGTGCCACTGTGGCAGTCAGTGCTCAAACCCAACAGGACTCAGGCCAGTCTGAGGATCTCTGCAGTATAAACTGAGGTGGCATGTTTGCAAGGCCAGCAGCAGAGCCAGTGCAATGTTCCCACTAGAATCAGTGCCACTGTGGCAGTCAGTGCTCAAACCCAACAGGACTCAGGCCAGTCTGAGGATCTCTGCAGTATAAAAGGTCAGGAAAGAGACAAAAATGGCAGGAAAAAGAAGGTAAGTGGAGCCCTTTAAAGTTTACAGCCTCCCAGAGCTTATATTCGGCAATGCTGAAAAAAGCCAAAAACCCCTGAATATTTTCGTTTCCCCCCCCCAGCATTCAGTATTCAGCAGCCAAATCAGATCAGGGAATCTGATTTAGTATGTTGAATACCCAAAAAATGCCGAAAAGGCACTTTTGCTGTTTTTTTCCGGTTCGGCTTTACCAAATGCACACCCCTACTCTGAACTGATGTTTTGGGGAAGGCACCTTCCCTGAACATTTATCGGACTTTTGTCTTGTTCAGTTCTGCTGTTTGGGCCATTTAAACCTAACAGCTGAGCAGCGCGGGTCTGCAGCTGACAGGTTTAAGTGGGTGTGAGCCATTTCAGTCCAACAGTTGACAGGTGCACCCACAAGTCATTTCACCGGTCCGTTTTGCTCCCCCCCCTTCCAAGTGGGGGGAAGCGAAACGGACCAGTGAAATGGCTCGCAGCCATTTAAATCTAACAGTTGACAGGTGGATCTGCCACACTGTTAGATTTAAATGGCTGCCAGCCATATCACCAGTCTGTTTTGCTTCCCCTTGCTTGGAAGTGGAGGGAAGCAAAACCAACCTCTGAAATGGCTGCCAGCCATTTAAATCTAACAGTGTGGCAGGTCCACCTCTGCCTGTCAGCTGTTAGATTTAAATGGCTGTGAGCCATTAAACCTGTCAGTGTTGCTCCCTCCTGCTTCAAAGCAGGGGGAAGCAAAACAGCCCCCTTTCCCCTGGCTGTGGCAAGCCCCAGCTGGGAGAAAAGGGGATCTGAACTGGTTTGATTCAGGGTTCAGTTCATGGGCCGCCCCAAACCCTGAATGGAACCAAAAATTTTAGGTTTGTGCCTGTCCCTACTACTGATGATGATTTATGGCCAAAGGCAGCAGCTTAAAAACATCAAAAATAAATGTGTCTCTGCAGTACTGGCACAAGATGCAGTATGAGATCTAGAGAGAATAACTTCTGATAACTCCACTGAAGAGTTTTAAGATAAGATTTGACTGTATGTTTATAAGAAATGCTGTGAGATTTGTGCAAGGATGTAACTTGATTTAGGAATGGTACCGTACAATAAGACAGATGGCAAGATATGTCTAGTTTGTCTTAGTGTTTCCCCATTCCATGCATGCATGCAATCTTGTTCCATTTGAATAGAGACCAAGGGAATAATATGTAACTCCTATAATTTAATATATTTTTCCCATTCTCCTGTGACAGCTTTCTTATGTTGTGTGAGCAGTGCTGTACTAACTTCATTCAGGTTAGAAGAGACTAAGGGCCCATCCCTTATTCTAATTCTGGGTAACTGTTCTCCCTTGGTTCTGAAACCTATCTATTAATGTGGATTCAAATCTTTTTTCTGTATCTAGACAGACACTCAAAAAACGTTCCTTTTCCACTCTTTCATTACCTAGATTGTGAATATAAAATGGTGGCTACATGGTGTTACACAGGGCTTTTTTTCTTTTCTTTTTTTGGAAAAAGAGGTGCTGGAACTCTCAAGAGGGAAATGAAGTTTTCAGTCTGTATACTGAAAACTCATGAACTTTTAAACATTTTAAAAGAATTTTGTCAAAGAGATTCCGGAACTCTGTTCCAGTGCATTCCCCCAGGAAAAAAAAAGGCCTGTTGTTACAGGGTAACTACTCTGCATTAACAAGTTTTGAATGTGAACCATAAGTCTTACTGGACCATGTGTTTTGAAGTAGATTTAGGTTTTGGAGGACTTAAAGTGCTAGAAAGACTTCAGGAAAAATTTTCTGGAAACTTCAGGAAAAGCTTCTTTGACCTGCCTTGAGCTGGTCAGTGGGAGGAGAAAAATGGAGATGATAAAACTCTTGGGAGCAAGGAGGAGGGTCTATTTTGTGCTGATTCCATTGAGGCAGACAGAACTCTTACCTGAGGTCTGTTGGAGGCAGCCGTTGCTGTGTGCTGGTCTGAATGCCTGAGCAAACGCTTCAAGGAAATGGAAATGCTATAGAACAATTGTAACCTTTTAAGCTAAAGAGCCAGCCTTATACTAAAAGCCACATGTACTGAGGGAGGGACAGAGGAATTACATTTTACCCTTTTCATTTGGATCCCTTACTCAATCTGGTGCTGTGCTGAGAGTATCTGTATGGACATTTTCTTTTTAGTAAATGCTGTATACCTTTTTGATGCTGGTAGTGGTTCTCTGTATCACATTAGGTCTCCTCAACACCATATTTACAGAGAAGCACCAAGAAGGAAGGGTAGTCAGTTGGCGAGTGGGTGCTCTCTCAGGGCAATAAATTGTTAGTTGGTGAATAGATAATCCCTCAAGGCAGTAAACTGTCCATGTGGTAACCAGGCACTGGATTGCAGGAGACACAGAGGCAAGGACTCAGAAGAGTGAAAGGAAGCTGGGAGCCCTCGCCCTCTCAGTGGAAATTCCTACAGAGGACAGGGGGTGGCAGACATTGAACCAAGAGAGGGAGAGAAAAGTCCCTCCAGGTGTTGGAAAAACTAGGTGGGTGGCATGTGCCAGGTGGAGACC